TAGGGGAGGAGCCTGGGGGCTGAGCTGAGGGGCTGGTATTAGGGGAGAGGCCTGGGGGCTAAGGGGCTGGTATTGTGGGGAGGCTGGCTTGCTTTAGGGGCAGGGGCTCTCTGTGGTGAAACCCAGCCTGTGCAGAGGGGCAGCCCCAGGGCCAGGTAGCACTTAACTCCCCTGAACCCTCAGCACTGGGCGTGAGCAGGGCCTAGGCCTGGTACTGCCCCAGGCACAGGGGTGGCTAGGGAATGTCGCCTGTGCACACAGCCTATCACACAACCCGCTCCGCCCACCAGGTGAGCCCCAGGCTGTCTGAAGGGTGCAGGGGTCTCCCACACATTCAGGTCCCCCGAGGGTGCTCCGCAGAAAACAGCATCTGATTGGGGGGCCGGGAAATCTTGGCTCAGGGCTTCCCGGGGCATTTTCACCCCTGCAGAGCTTTGACCTCAGTGCCAGGTGCCAGGATCAATGAAATGTCGGTTTGTTAAATGGACAGTGACGCCCTCACTGAGTCTGCAGTGGGGAAACTCAGTGTGACACTCAGAGCAAGAGAGAGAGTCCAGGGACCGGCTCCTTGGCGGCTGTAAACTGGCAGAGCCCTATGGACTCCAATGGAGGGATGCCAGTTCACACCCGCTGGGGATCATCCAGTATGGTGATGCTGATTTACACCCGCTGGGGATCTGGCCCCAGTGAGGCTGCAGGCGTCTGTCCCACACGGTGCAATTCTCTTTGCCCTTGTCCCACAGACGGCGCGAGCAGCAGCGGAGGAGGGGAGGAGCCGACCCGCACAGGTAATGGGCTGTTGCTCTGTCACACCCTTATTATCAGAGCCCGGCTCTGTGCCCCCAGCTCTGACTTCAGGGCATAAAGTCTGAGCCAAACTCACCCCGGGGCCGGGTAACTCCTCGGCCTGCAGCGCAGTCACCCCCAATGGGCTGGGCTCTGCCGGTGCAATTCCCCCGGGCAGAGGGGCAGCACAGCCCCACAGCATGGGCGGTGCGTGACTCATTCATTTGGAGACGCTGGGCGCACCTGGCCTGTGGCCCCAGCCCCAGGCCTGTCCCCACTCGGCTACCTCCCCCGAAAGCCCCGCCCACACTCCACCCCCGGCCCCGCTCTGCCCCCACCCCCATCCACCTCTCATGCCTCTTCCCCCAAAGCCCCCGCCCCACTAGGGTTGCCAAACTGTCTAATCACACAAACCCAAACACCTTTGCCCTGCCCCGTGCCCTGACTCTTCCCCAAGGCCCCACCGCCACACCGCCCCTTCGCCAAGGCCCTGCCCTGCTCACTCCATCCCCCCGTCCTCCCTCGCTCACTCTCCTCCACCCTCACTTTCACCGGGCTGGGGCAGGGGGTTGGGGTGTGGGAGGGGGTGAGGGGTGCTGGCTCTGGGAGGGAGTTTGGGAGTGGGAGGGGGCTCAGGGCTGGGGCAGGGGCTTGGGGTGCTGGCTCTGGGAGGGCTTAGGGCTGGGGCAGAGGCGGGCTGCAGTGGAGGGTTCAGGGTGCGGGCTCTGACCGGTCGGCGCTTACCTTGGGTGGCTCTCGGTCAGCAGCGCAACAGGACTAAGGCAGGGTCCCTGCCTGCCCTGGCCCCGGGTTGCTCCCAGAAGTGGCCGGCACATCCCTGTAGCCCCTGGGGGTGGTAGGGGGCTCCACGCGCTGCCCCTGCCTGCAGGCACCGGCCGTGCAGCTCCCATTGGCCGCAGTTCCTGGCCAATTGGAGCTGCGGAGTCAGTGCTCAGGGTGGGGGCAGCGCGCAGAGACGCCCTGCCCCCCTAGGGGCCGCAGGGCGGCAGGGAGCCTGCCTTAGCCCCACTGTGCTGCCGGCCTACAATCTGCCGGTTTGGCTTCCGTAGCCTCTGGAAGATAAAGCCCGATTCCGGGAGACTCCTGGCGAAACCGGGAGGGTTGGCAAACCTACCCCCCACCTGCCCCTCTTCCCCCGCCCACCTCTCACGCCTCTTCCCCTGAGGCTTTCCTGCCCACTGCTCATGCCTTTCCCCCAAGGCTCCCCGACCCACCACTTGTGCCTCTTTCCCCTCTCCCCCAAGGCCTCCAGGTGGGCAGAGTGAGGATGGGAAGAGACGGAGCGAGGCCAGGGCCTCGGGGGGAAGAGGACGAGTGGGAACTGGGCCTCCAGGAGGATCGCTGGCAGGCCAGGGCCAGGGCCTGGGCATCCTTTCGACAACAGCACACTCCAAAGGTAGGGTTGCCAGGTGTCCGGTTTTCGACTGGAACATCCAGTCGAAAAGGGACCCTGGCAGCTCCGGGAAGCACTGGTGGCCGGGCCATTAAAAGTCTGGTCAGTGGCGCAGCGGGGCTAAGGCAGGCTTCCTCCCTCTCCTGGCTCCGCGCGGCTCCCGGAAGCTGCCAGCATGTCCCTGCGGCCCCTAGGCACAGGTGCGATCAGAAAGGCTCCACATGCTGCCCCCGCCCCGAGCGCCAGCTCCACAGCTCCCATTGGACGGGAACCATGACTAATGGGAGCTGCAAGGGTGGCACCTGCGGGCGCGGGCAGTGCGCACCATGCAGAGCTGCCTGGCCGCCCCTGCGCCTAGGAGGTGGACATGCTGGCCGCTTCCGGGAGCCATGAGGAGCCAGGGCAGGTAGGGAGCCTGCCTTAGCCCCATTGCACCACCGACCGGGAGCCACCTGAGGTAAACGCTGCCTGGCTGGGGCCCAAACCCACACCCCAACCCCCAGCCCAAGGTCAGAACCCCCTCCCAGAGCCTGCACCCCAACCCCCTGCCACAGCTCTGAGCCCCCTCCCAGAGCCTGCACCCTGCACCGCCTCCTGCACTCCAACCCCCAGCCCAGAGCCCGTTCCCACACTCCAAACCCGTTGGCCCCAGTCCAGAGCACTCCTGCACCCCAAACCCCTGATCCCCGCCACACCCGGAGCCCTAATCCCCTCCTGCATCTTAACCCCATGCCCCAGCCCAGTGAAAGTGAGGGTGGGGGAGAGTGACAGAGGGAGGGGGGATGGAATGAGTAGGGTCGGGCCTCAGAGAAGGGGTGGGGCAGGGGTGGGGCCTAAGGGAAGGGGCAGGGAAGGGGGCGGGGCAAGGGTGTTTGGTTGTGCAATTAGAAAGTTGGCAACTCTATCCAAAGGTGGCAGGCTGGCTATCTGGGAAGGCTTAGCCTCCCCTGGCCTCTTGTACCCACCACCCATGCCCCATGGCATCGCTTACATCCCACTTCCACCCTTGTTTGAAAATACAGCTGGTGCCAAGACCTTGTGCTGCTCCTCTGCCCAGGGCGGGGTAGCCCACGCGGTGACCTGCCAGTCACACTGGAGAGGGGCAATAGGGTCTGGGCTGCTGCATCTGTCGCTGGCTCCTGTGAGGCCTTTGCACTGAGTCCCAGTGCAGCCTGAGCAAACCTGGGCCGTTCCCTGCTCCTCCAACCCCTCAGGGCTGTGCTGGGCAAAGGGAGGGGGCTCCCCAACAGCCTCCATCACTTAGGCCTCCCGTCGGGGGAACGTGCCCCTCTGCAGCATGATCCCCCTTAGATCTAGGCCTCCGGGAGCTTACACGGGGTCCCTGCTACGCAGCAGCTGCTCTGTGACTAGTGCTGGCACTGCAGTCCCACACGCTGCTTTGCACACGGCTGTCACCATGTCCCTTTCCACGTTGCAGGGCCAGTCACGTCCCACACCATCTGGGCCGCCCGCTGCGCTCTGGTCCTGCTCCTCCTGGTGTCTGCTCCCGTCATCACCTTCATACTGGAGAAACGGGGCCTGCCCGAGCCTGCAGGGCTGGAGGAGACTCCTCGGGAAGCAGCAGCATCATGGGAATGAAAGGCCTGGGAATGGGAGAACCCCATTGACCAGCTGTGAGCAGGAGACTGGGTGAAGAGGGGCCTGGGAAGATACCAGTGCCCAGCTCTGAGAGGGTGTTGGGGAGACACCATTGGTCAGTGCTGCACAATAGGCCCCTGTGGTAACTGTCTTTGCCCAGGTAACTCCTGCAGCCTCCTTCAGTCCCCCCTCCCTTCCCCTGTTGGGATGCTGTCAGTCACTCTGCCCTGCAGCCCTCTGCTCACTCCCAGGCAGGCCAGGGCCAGGCCAAGTTCTTACCCAACCAAGAACTGTCCCAGACAGACAGCCCAGGCCAGCCCAGCTCCTTCCTTCTGTACAAATAATCCCTGCAGAGAGGCTGTAAGTTTAGAAAAGGAGGATGGGCTAGTTGTTAAGGCACCAACGTGGAACTTCTGGGAGATTGAGATTCAAGTCCCAGCTCTGCGACAGAGTCCTTGGGCCTGTCACTGCCTCTCTCTGGGCCTCAGCTCCTCATCTTTGAAATGGGGACAATAATTCTGCCTTGCCTAAGGGGAGAATTTTCAAAGCCCCTAAGGGATTTAGGAGCACAAGTGTGTGACTATGCTCTGTGCCCACTGCCTGGTGCTCCTAAGTCCCTCAGGTGCTTTTGAATATCTCCCCCTTAGTTTGGGAACTCCCCCGGGCAGGGGCTGTCTCTCACTAAGGGTTCATCTGCACAGGGAAATGGACCAGAAGAACTACACTGGTGTCATAAAATCACTGCAGTTATTCCGGGATAACGCTCCGTGGGGACATTCTTATTCCGGAATCAGAGAGCCCTGGTCAGGGTTCGTTTACACCATTTTCAAAGTGACATAAGCTAAACTGGACAAAGCCCCTCATACACTGGAATAAAGGTGTCCCCACGGGGAGTTATCCAGGGATAGCTCTAGTGGGCTAGGTAGACCAGTGTGGTTCTCCTGGTCAATTTTCCCCATTCAGACCAGGCCTTAGTGTCTGTGCAGCACCCAGAGCAAAGGGGCCCTGACCTTGGCTGGGGTCTCTGAAGGGTCCTTTTATATAAATAATAACGGCAAAATGCAGTCAGAGCTAACCTGTGTAGGGTGCAGGGGCCTTTCCCACCACTGGAAGGACGCATGCCCCCCTGGGATATCTCATGTCTATACAGGGCCTTCAGCAATACACACTCAGCTGCCTTTCACATCTGGGAACGTTGATGGTGGCATCCAGGTCCGTTGTGGGGTTTATAGACAATGTGCAATTCTTAAAATAGGGGAGCAGAGATAAGAAGAAACCCCTGGTAATGTTTCCTCTCTGACCTCTTCAGCCTTTTCCAGGTGAAGGAACCTACCTACCCACTAGATGGGGCTTTGCAACAATCCCATTGCAAAACTCCACCTTACCGATTGTTTCCATGTGTTTCCATGCCCAGACCTGAAGAAGAGCTCTGTGCTAGCTCATAAGCTTCTCTCCCACCACCAGAAGCTTGTCCAATAAACGATATTACCTCCCCCACCTTGGCTCTCTATTTTTTCCAGACACACATTAATGCCGCCATCTACTGGCCAAAGCTATACATGCAACTGTGCAAATTTGTCTTGTTTTTTGACTCTACATCAGGGAGGGTTTCATGAACTTCATCCTGCGGAGCTGACTGTAGCAGACAGATTGTCTCACAGACACCTCCCCTGCAGTACCGGGTTTACCATGGCACCGGGCCCAGAGTCAGAAGGGGCCCCAGCCAGCCCGATCCCCCGCCGGCTGAGCCGGCCAGGAAAGCTGCCCCCACCCCTGCTCCGCCCCTACTCCGCTTCTTCCCCCCCAAGCCCTCTCCCCTGAACTACACGTCCCAGGGGACTCCAGCAGGGGTCGGACGCACCCTGCACTTACCAGGCGGCAGGAAGTGGAGTGACCCGGCCCCAGCCCGCTCCGCTGGGTCGTGCTGGGGGGCGGTTTCTCCCCTGCCCCCCAAGCCCGGGGATTAGATGGAGCAGTGGGAAAGGGGCATGGGATGGGGAAGAAAAGGGGATGGGGAAGCGAGGAAAGAGGCAGTGGGGAAGGAAGGGGGTGGAAGGGGGAAGAGAAGGGGATAGGGGAAGCAGGGGGCCAGCATGCAGATCCCCTTAGCATAGGGTGACCAGATGTCCCGATTTTATAGGGACAGTCCTGATTTTTGGGTCTTTTTCTTATATAGTCTCCTATTACCCCCCACCCTCTGTCCCGATTTTTCAAACTTGTGTCTGGTCACCCTACCTTAGCAGCAGCAGGGGCTCCCCTGTTAAGCAGGCCCATCAAACCCTCACCCTGACAAGCCCAACCTCCCCTGCATCTGTAACACCCAATGAGCCCCCCCAGACACCCTCCCCACTAAGCCCCCACCACCTGCACCTGGACCCCCACCCAAATGAACCCCACCTCCCCTGCACCCAGACACACCCACCCCCCACCCCCGCTGAGCTCCAACCACTTTCACTTGGTCCCCCCTGCAGAATCCCATTGCCCCTGCACCTGGAACCTTCCTGTACATCCAGATCTCCCACTGAGCTTCCTGCACCCAGACTGCCCCACACAGAACCCTCTTACCCCCATCTGGATCCCCCCACACTAAGTCCCTCTGCACTTGGAACCTGCTGCCGGGCTGAGCCTCCCTGCCCACATCTGGTGAGCCTGGCACAAAAGGGGCAGGGCCCCAGGGTGTTTCTGTGGCAGGCCTGGCCCTTGTGCTGTGTCAGGGTCAGGTTCAGTCTCACTGCCAAGTCCCTGTCCCAGGGGGAGGGGGAGGCTGCAAGGTGATCTCCCACCTCCATGCAGCCAGTGGCCTGTGCTCCCCACTGCCAGGGTGGAGCTTCTACATTTATTTATTATGCACAGAATTTGATGCAGAATTTGCACAGGAATATGGGGCGCTGTACAGCTGTGATGGTGGGACTGTGAAGGGGGTGCGGGACAGTAGGGGATCTGTGGGGGGGGGGCTGGGAAGGGAGTATGGTGCGGGTGCTGTGCAGTTGTGGGAGGTCAGCGGGAGGGGTCTCTGGGCAGGGGGTGCTGGGCATAGCGGTTCTGGGGGTATTGGGCATAGGGATCTGTGGGGAAGTTTCTGGGTGAGGGGGTGCTGGGCATAAGGGCAGGGCACCGGGCCGGGGGCAGTGTGGAAGGGGCACGCTGGCAGCGCAGGGCTGGGCGGGCCAGTGTGCGTCTAGCAGTTGTTGGTTTGTAAACAGTGCCCTTGTGCTGGGCTGAGTGGGGCCACTCCCGCTGCGCTGCACCTCATTGCCCCCAACCGGCCCCTCGCTCTGCGGACCGCCCCCCATCACATGCCCTATTTCCCCAATGGGGGACCACAAATATGTTTGGCGCCGGGCCCACAAAAAGTTAATCCGGCCCTGCTCCCCTGCTATTAGCACCCACTTAATATCCCTGTGACCACCCCCACAACAGATTGTTCTGAAAGTCAGCATAAGGAAAGGGCTGGTTTCTCAACAGGAAAATGTTTTCCTCCCACTCTGGTTCTGTTCCCCTATATCCTGACAACACCTTGACACCTCCACCTCCACCCAGCAGGGAATCTCATGCCAGCCTCACCTAAAAACAGAGACCAGAGAGCCAGGGCTTCAACCCTCCAGTGTCAGCCAGAAATGAAACTTCAGTGTGGTTGGGGGGGCTCAGGGCACTGGGCTACAGGGCTTTTTCCTTATAGGGGTCTCAGGCTCCAATCCAGCCCCATGCTGGGGGAACTGGCGAGTTAGAAATAAATCCCCAAGATACAAACTGCCCAACTGGGCCCCACGAGCTAACAATAATGGTCCCAAACATGAACCCTTAGTCGCAATAACCCCTCAATAGCTAGGAGCACATAGCAGCAGGTTTAGAACACACAGCCGCAGGACTACACAGTGTTGCCAGCTTGTGGAATTTTACCATGAGTGTTGCAATATTTGATGTTTTTCTTAACACTCCAGCTCCTGGAGTCATGGGATTAAATGAGAGCCTCAGTTTTCCTTTTTAAATAAAAGCAAGTTCCTCTCCCTTATGGCTGTAAAAAGAAGCTAGAAAACATGAACCTACAGTTGTTCTACATGGAGACACTCAGGAAAATTAATCCCAATTAACTTTTAAAGTGGATTAGTTAAACCGCATTAAACCCCCACGTGGATGCTCTTATTCAGAATGTAAGTGGAGTTAATTTGATTTAGCTCGGTTTAGGTGCTCCAGCCACCCCTCAGCCCCTGGAAATGGTTCAGGCACAAAAACGGGACCATCTGGTCTGAGTTTTCCCACTCCTGGAGCTCCCGTCTGCATGTCTCCCTCTTCCTTGCTGTCATCAGGGGCGCCATTTAGGGGAGGAGGGGCAAGTTTTGTACCACCAGCTGGGAGCAATGCTGCTTACTCCTTCCCCCTCCCCTCAGCAGCCAGGAGCAACTGTTGCTTACTCCTCCCCTCCCGCATCCCCTCCTTTGGCTATTCTTTGCTCAGCGAATAGGAATGCAGAGGTGTATCTGGCAGAGCCAATAGCAGGTCTGGGAACTTCTGTGGCACTTTTTCAAATCCATTGACCACCTGGAATCTTTTCCTGCTGTGAAGAAACAACCGTGTGCTGCCACCACCATAAATATTGTTCAAATTACACTTAAAACTTTCTAATTTTTTCCAACTCTCTAATTTTGCAGTGAATGGCAGTACCCCAGTGTGGCCATTTATTCCGCCATTTAGTTCCACTTGTCTGTGGGAATCTTTCCTTTGCCAGCAATGGGCTTTGGGGTCAAGTACATAGACTGTGACACAGAAACACCAGTTCCACTGGGAATGCCTAGATTTTACCAAATCTCCCCAGAGTGGGGCTGCACTTTTCTAGGGCCTTTTCCCCAGATACCTTTTGAGGAGGGTGACCAGATGTTCCATTTTTAAAGGGACAGTCCCATTTTGTTGGGACTTTTTCTTATATAGGTGCCTATTACCCCCCACCCCCTGTCCTGTTTTTTCATAGTTGCTATTTGGTCACCCTACTTTTGAGGAGCTGCTGCCCCTCAATTGCTGCCATTTTGCTCTCTGCTGTATCTCCTTCTCTTCCAGCTGATAAATATTCTTATCTCCTGTGGTACATACTTTTTAACATTTCTGAGGGTGGCAGAGTCTCACAAACTTGAGGACCATTCATTAATTTCATGGAGCTGACATTCACTCTCTCAAATCCTCACCACAGCACACTAGAAACCTCCCTCCAACTTAATCCTTTGAATGTATCATAACTATTTGTATAAACCCTTCAGTGAACAGAACCCCGAGCCAATCTGAAAAATGTGTACGATTTGGCTGCCAAAATGTGTTTCTTATAGATCTATGCAGCTAACATCCATCATTTAATTACACTATTCAATTCCCCCCCCCCCCGCGCCCCCATTTCATACTGTCTTTCCCCTCTCTCCCTATTTACCTTATTTTTCATGCCACCCCAGTCTGACACATCCACAGGGCCCATTTTCTTTCCCCACCTGAATCCCCCTGGGCATATCCTGACTGCAGCTGGACGCAGACTGGGGGCAATTTCATTGCTGTTAAGGCACCTACAATCCAGGCACATTAACAAGGGAGCAGATTCCCAGGGGCTGTGAGCTCTGAACGTCACTTTCCTGCCCATCCCCAGCACTTTTCTCAATTAGCTGGTGTCTCCGGCTCAGGGATTGGTCCTAGCAGAGCCTGGGGCCGCCCAGTGGGGACGGAGGGGGGGTTTCCAGCTGGAGAAAGTCCCCACCTCAGCTGGGCACAGGAAGAACTGTAATGAAAGTCTCTCCCCACCACAGAGCCGGCTGGGACAGCAGCAGCTGCTCAGCGCAGGGCTCCCCGGTTACACTGGAGGTAGCAGCAGCTTGTGTTTCACAGAGCACCCACAGCCGGGAGCTGCCCAGTGTCTTGTTCTTGCTGCTGCCTCCCTGCTCCCAGCTATCCCAGCCTCTTCCTGTCTCCTTCAATACCCACCTGGGCTGCAGCCTGCCACACACATTGGGACAGGGACTTTCTCCAGAGGGAACTAGCCCCCCTCTCTGCTCCTCCTCCTGCATCTGTGAGCCCCAGAGCTGCTGCGTTACTGACACACACACACACCGAGGCTTTTGCTCCTGTTAGCCCTTGTCGGAGCTAATCCAGCTACGGGACAGTGAGTGCCCTGGGAACAGGAAAGTGACCCAGGCTGTCTCTCCACTGCAATGTAAACCTCAGGCTCAATGCAAACCCCACTTGCTTCCACACTGCAATTGGGCTATCCCCGAGCTTGAACCCAGGACCCTGACGGGTTGGAAGTCTGAGCCCTATTGCTTTGCAGTGTAGACATGCCCCTGGCTTGATTCAGGTCCTGGGAGTCTGCCGGATGTATCCCAGAGTTCATTGGGACAATTTCCTTAGTCCTCTCTATGCCAGCAATCTGCAAACGGAAGCCCCCCCTTGCGAATGGCAGCAAGTCAGCGTTACCCCATTGTCCTCTGAGCCCGGATCTGCAAGCGCACGAACAGAAATCCTCCAGGGTGCGCAATGGAAACGGATCCAGCCAAGCCTTTTGTCAAGCGAGCCGCTTCCTGGTCCCTGGAGCACAGCCAGATGTTGGTGACGCTGTGGTGTGAGGCCAGCAAAACGGTGGATTTCAGCAAAAGCACCAGGAATGACCACCTCTACCAGCAGATCTCCCGCAAGCTAGCCGCGCTGCAGGTTTTCCGGACCAGTGACCAGTGCAGGGAGCGAATTAAAAGGCTAAAGAGAGACTACAGGAAGACCCGGGAGAAGAATCGCTCCTCGGGCCACTCACCAAGGACATGCCCATTTTATGAGGACTTTGACCGAGTCCTGAGCACTGGGCCCGGCATAGAGCCACCCGTGCTTCATGACGACCTGGTGAGCCGGGATGGTGCCTTGCTGGCCCCCGAATCCAGCCTGGGGGCTGATTGCAGGCAGCAGCGGGCTCCCAGCCAGGATCGCGAAGTGACTTTTTTAATGCAACCAGTTCCAGAGCAGGATCAACAGCAAATGCTCAGTCCCTACTCAGAAGAGCTGTTTGATCCTCCTGCCTCTGGAGAACAGCCCCCTGAGAACCCGTTGGAGACAGAAGCGGCCCTAGAACCCGCCGGTAAGTGTCTGATTCCAATTAAAAGTGTATTATTACAGTAACGGGAGCGATTTCTGCTTTAAGAAGCAATGCAAAACCAACAGAGGGTCCTGTGGCACCTTTAAGACTAACAGAAGTATTGGGCGCATAAGCTTTCGTGGGTAAGAACCTCACTTCTTCAGATGCAACAAGTGAGGTTCTTACCCACGAAAGCTTATGCTCCCAATACTTCTGTTAGGGTATGTCTACACTACGGGATTAATCCGAATTTAGATAATTCGAATTTGGGAAACAGGTTGTATAAATTCGATTGTGCGCGGCCACACTAAGCACATTAATTCGGTTTTTAACCACATTAATTCGGTGGTGTGCGGCCACACTACCCCATTAATTTAACCACATTAATTCAGTGGTGTGCGGCCACACTAACCCTAATTCGAATTAACAAAATCGATTTAGGCGCTACTCCGCTCGTCGAGGTGGAGTACAGAAATCGATTTTAAGTGCCCTTTAATTCGAATTAACTGGCTCTGTAGTGTGGACGGGTGAAGGGTTAATTCGGATTAACGCAGCTAAATCCGAATTAAAGTCGTAGTGTAGACCAGGCCTTAGTCTTAAAGGTGCCACAGGACCCTCTGTTGCTTTTTACAGATTCAGACTAACACGGCTACCCCTCTGATACTTGAATGCAAAACCAGTAAGCTACCCCCGGCTACCAGCGTTTGGCTAGTAATGACAGATTGTATCACAGTGCCATGGCATCCCCACCTTCCCCTCCGCCATCACGTGGCGTTCACAGTGGTGACTTGGAATTTCGAACGTCCATACAACAGCTGTCATGGTTATTTTAAGTATTAAGTCACAGCGATTTGCCATGGTCATTCTTGTTTTCCTTTCAGTCATTAGAAATTTGCCACTCTGCAATCTTGTTTTTTAAACGGGGCTGGCCGGATACTGGAGGAGTGGGCCCGTGAAAGGTGGAAGCGTGACAGATATTTGCAGTCCATTTATGCAGCTGCCTGTAAACAAACAATGAACTGAGTGTGTGTATTTGGGAAACAATATTCTATATGTCCAAATCTAGTCCATTTCCGTTAGAGATAATCCACGCAAGGGCGGAGTAAAGTTGCAGATTTCAGAAAATTTTGCATACAGTAATAACAGGATAAGCCATGTGTGAGCTAACACAGCATCATGTTAATTCCCTCATGGATTCTGATCCAATCCTAGCTGCTCATAGCTGCAAACTTCTCCTGAAGCAGGAACTCTAGATAGTTTGTCACACTGCATGGAAGAGCGAATTTTCCAGGGCGCCCCCCCACTATACATTTGAATATTTCTGCTACTTACACAGTGGGTTTACCTCCAGCAGCTTAGAATAACATCTCTCTCTCTGCCACTAGGGCACCAGAAGAACTATTATGCCTTCTGAAATAGGAAAGGTCTGAAACGACAGAAAAAGCCTTTTGCAGCGAGGGCGCTATACACCTCTCCCCCATATGGCAATAAGTGACGAAGTTTTTATGAAGCAGAGTAAAGGTTTTAATTTTAACCTTCCCATTGCTTCTACACATCTGTCACTGTGATTAACAAGGCTGTGTCAAGAGATAGTGTGAGGACTGACGCGTCCCCTTCACAATATGGGTAGGTTCACTTCAGAACTGTTACATTTTATGTCCTTGGGATTCCTCAGTTATTGATTCGGTCTCTGCTGAGCTAGTTTAGACACTAACCCTCTCTTCCTTGTCCTGTTTCAGGACCCTCAAGCTACACAGCCTGCTGTTCTTCAGGAACTCCATCCCTGGCCCAGCGTACCCTCGCGGACCGTTCCAAAAGAAAGCGTTTCCGTGACGAAGTCATGGTCCATGTTCTTCAGAGGGCAGAGCAGCAGATGCAGTACCAGAAGCAGAGGGATGAAAGACTGGAACAACGGCGTGCTGAGAGGCAGGTGAAGCGGCTGAGGCTCGCCATCCAGCTGGAGGCAAGCGTTTCAGCCAGGGAGCAGGCACTTGCAAAGCAGTTCCTGGAACAGGAACGGCGGCTAAGGGAGGAGGACAGAGCCCAACAGAGAGAACTGTTCCAGCAACTCCTGTCTATAATGGCTGCAAGAGCACAAGCCCCTGCTACCTCTCCCACACCACGGCATGATGCCCCATCAACGTACCCTCAGCCCAGCAGTAGGTGGGGACTTTCCCTGGCTGGAACCAGCCCCCTAGGGCAGCTCCCGGCTCTGCTGACTTCAACCCCTGAGCCGGGGACACCAGGTGATGGAGTGAAACCTCAGTGAAAGTGCTGGGGACTGGACAGGCACAAATGTTCCTGGAATGTCACATCTCACGGCCTCGGAACCTGCTCCCTTGTTGCTAATGCTCCTGCGGGAGTCATTGGAGCTGTGTTAACAACAGTGACGCTGTTGCTCTCAGCTCTTGCCAGGATCTGCTCCAGGAGCAAAACTGGGATTGTGGGGGGGGGGAGCAAGGAGACCTGTCTCCAGTGGGTTTTCCCCTTTGTGTTTGGGGGTGGAGTTGTGAGGAAGGGAAGAGAGACAAAATAAAACAGAGATTAAAGGGAGAGGGGAGAGAGACATGTAGATTTAACTATCTCTGTGTAGTCAGGAAATTACAGCGAGAGGACAAGAGAACATAGAATAGCAGGGACAAGGGAGGATGAAATCACCTCAGAATTGGCCATTTCCCTCCCAAATACTGATGAAAATTCTCTCCAGTGCTCCCCCATTTCTCTCTAATTATCGAATATGGAGGTAAAATCCATGTAGATTTCCCCCACACACTTTTTTTCTCAAATTATTGACCCCTTTTCTATTCTCCTCAGATTTTGCCCCATTTTCTCTCTAATTCTCCAGTGTCAATTTCAAATCTCCTCAGATTTTGGATATTTCCCTGCTGGTTTTCTCTGCAGCAGATTGTCCTTATTTAGGCAGGAAATTATTGTCCTGTGTCATTCCCCAGATGGGAAGGGGGTTAGTGGGTGCTGCTTGGGAGAGCCTTGAGACCAGGCTGCCTGTGGGGTGGGATTGGGTGGCCATTCTCTGACAGCCATCGGGCATGGAAGATGCACACCCAGCCTCAGTTTACCCAGTCCCAGCTACTGCCCTACCACGCACACAACTGCCTAATGCAGCTCCCACCAGTCACCTGCCCGTCCCCTGATGCTGCCCCTTCCATGCTGCCAGGGAGCCGTCCTTCTCCATATTCCCCTGCCTTGTCCTCTTAAAGCAGCTTTTCAAAGGACTCCCTGCTCATCATGTGAATGTGTGTGTGGCCGGGGGGTGGGGGGGGTTGTTTGGTTACAAACAGCCATATAAAAATCCTTTCAAGAGTTCCCACTTTTCTCTCTCACTATTGAATATGGATGTAAAATGCCCTCAGATCTTAATGTTTCTCCCTATTATCAAATATTTAGTTTTTGACCCACTTCTCCCCAATTCTGATATAAAACTCCCCAAGATTGATATAAAATACCCTAAAGTCTTGCCCCATTTTCTCTCTAGTTATCTATTACTCATTTAATATCCCCTGTGATATTTCTATATCTCTCTCATTATAAAATGTTAACATTAAAATCTCCTCGGATTTTGCCCTTTCCTCAAATTCTTGAATATTTCAAGGATTGCGTATCAAATGTTGGGGTTTTTTTCTCTCTATTGATAAAATACTGATAAGAAATTCATTCAAATTTTGCTTCTATTCCTGTTATGAACTATTAACATACAATTCCTCTCATATTCCCACTTTCCTCTCTTATTTGTGAAAATTGATTCAAAATACCTCCATTTCCACACTTCTTTAATTACTGAACATTCATACAAAACCTCAGATTTTGCCATTTTCTGTATAATTATCAAATATCAGGTAAAAAATCCTCTCCATGTTGGAGGTATTCCCAGTGCCTTTTAATTACAGCAACGTCTCATGTTTTCAATGGAACCTGAGTCATTCTCCCCACTGGAATTTGCTGGGGGATTCAATTCCCCATGACCAACCTTGATTCACTCTCCTCGGGGGCAGGTGGTGGACTTAATTAGTTTTAAGAGAGAGCTTGACAAATTTATGAGTGGGATTGTATATCAGGTTGCTTCTGATGAAAGGGGGTAGGGCTTGGCAGTCCTGGGGCTCCAATCCAGTTTATGTCTTATGTTCCTAAACATCTCATGTTTCAGGGCTTCAGCCAATCACCTGCAGGGGTCAGGAAGGGATCCCCCCCAGTATAGTATTTTTTTGGGGGTGGGGTCTCCTTCCTTTAACATAAGAATGACCATACTGGGTCAGACCAATGGTCCATCTAACCCAGTGTCTGGTCTTCTGAAAGTGGCCAGGGTCAGATGCTTTAAGGGAATGAACAGAACAGGACAATTTTTTGACTGATTCATCCCCTGTTCTCCAGTCCCAAGTTCTGGCAGTCAGAGGTTTAGGGACACTCACAGCATGGGGTTGGGCCCCTGACCATCTTGGCTAATAGCCATTGATGGACCTATCCTCCAGGAACTTACCTAGTTCTTTTTTGAACCCATTCATACTTCTGGCCTTCACAACACCCTCTGGCAATGTGTTTCACAGGTTGACTGTATGCTTTGTGAAGACGTACTTCCGTATGTTTGTTTTAAACCTGCTGTCTATTCATTTTGTTGGGTGCCCCTGGTTCTTATGTTATGTGAAGGGGTATATAACACTTCCTTATTCACTTTCTCCACACCAGTCATAATTTTATATATCTTCATCATATCTCCCCTTCGTCATCACTTTTCTAAGATGAACAGTCCCAGTCTTTTTATTCTCTCCTCATGTAGAAGCTGTTCCATACCCCTAATCATTTTTGTTGTCTTTCTCTGTACTTTTCCAATTCTAATTATCTTTTTTTGACCAGGGGTGACCAGAAGTACACACAGTATTCAAGATGCGGACGTACCGTGGATTTATATAGTGGCATTATGATATTTACTGTCTTATCTATCCCTTTTCTAATGATTCCTAACATTCTGTTCTCTTTTTTGACTGCTGCCGCACATTGAGTGGAGGTTTTCAGAGAACTATCCACAGTAACTCCAAGATCTCTTTCTTGAGTGGTAACAGCAAATTTAGACCCCAGCATTTTATATATATAGTTGGAATTATGTATTCCAATGTGCCTTACTTTGAATTTATCAACATTGAATTTCATCTGCCATTGTGTTGCCCGTTCATCCACTTTTGTGAGATACTTTTGTGTCTCTTCACAGTCAACTTTGGATTTAACCATCTTGAGTAATTTTGTATCATCTGCAAACTTTGCCACCTCACTCTTTACCCCTTTTTCCAGATCACTTATTAATATGTTGAACAGCACAGGGCCCAGTACATATCATTGATGGACCCCATTATTTACCTTAATCCACTTTGAAAACTGAACATTTATTCCTACCTACCTCCCCCACCCCACCCCACCCCCCACATCTTTTAACCAGTTACTGATCCAGGAGAGGACCTTTTCACTTGTCACAGAACTGCCTACTTTGCTTAAGACCCTTTGGTGAGGGACCTTGTCAAATGCTTTCTGAAAGTCCAAGTACACTATATCCACTGGATCACCCTGTCCACATGTTTGTTGACCCCCTCAAAGAATTCTAATAGATTAGTGAGGTATGATTTTCCTTTACAAAAGCCGTGTTGACTCTTTCCTAACACATTCTTCTATGTGTCTGATCATTCTGTTCTTTACTATAGTTTCAACCAATTTGTCTGGTACTAAAGTTAGGTTTAGTGGCCTGTAATTGCCAGGATCCTCTCTGGAGCCTTTTTTAAAAATCGGCATTACATTAGCTATCCTCCACTCATCTGGTACAGAGGCTCATTTAAGCAGTAAGTAACATACCACAGTTAGTAGTTTTGAAATTTCTTATTTGAGTTCCTTCAAAACTCCTGACTGAATATCATCTGGCCCTGGTGGTTTATTACTGTTTAGTTTATCAATTTCTTCCAAAACCTCCTATTGACACCTCAGTCTGGGGCAGTTCCTCAGATTTGTCACCTAAAAAGAATGGCTCACGCGTGAAAATCTTCCTCACATTCTCTGCAGTGAAGTCCTATGCAAATAATTCATTTAGCTCCTCCACAACAGGCTTGTCTTTCTTGAGTGTTCCTGTAGCACCTTGATAGTCCAGTGGCCCCATTGACTGGCCGCTTTCTGCTTCTGATGCACATTAAAAACAATTGCTCTTAGTTTGTGTCTCTTTTGCTAATTGTTCTTCAGATTCGTTTTCAGCCTCCCTGCCTAATTTTACTTCCCGTGACTTGCCACAGTTAATGTTTCGTTCTATTTTCCTCCATGGGATTTGATTTTTGTAAGAGACAGCCATGTTTGGAGATGGGACACTGGATGGGAGGCCCAGGCCTCTGAGGTGGCACTGAGCATTCTCACTCTCAAGTGCTTGGCTGGCTGGTTCTTGTTCACCTGCTCAGGCTCTGAGTGGGTGGGGTCAGGAAGGAATTTCCCCCAGGACAGACTGGCAGTGAGCCTGGGGGTTTCACCTTCCTCTGCAGTGTTGGGTGCTGGTAATCACCAGGATTGTCTTTGTGTATCTCATTGAATCATCTCCCTGCCATTGTAGAGGGCTCAGACATCGGCGGTCCTCACTCCCTCCTAGTCTCTCCCTGGAACATAATAGTTAATTTTCCCATGGGCTGTTATGCTGGGGTCTGATTTCAGTCTCTGGGTTAGTGTGATGGTGCTGTGTGGTGCTGGTGCTCTGTGATATAAAGGGTGTCAGGCCAGATGATCTGCTGATCCCTTCTGGCCTTAAACACTATGACTAGCCAGAAGTATCCCCAAAACCTTATGACAAATGGTCTCCATGAGGGTTTGCTTTCCCCAGCGCTGAGATGCAGCCACCTCTGGAGTGGATCAGTGGCCACTGTTAGCCAGTGACGGCATGGAAATTTCACACCCTCCATTCTCCTGTTAAAAAAGCATCACCCAGTGCTCCCTGTGTGAGTGGCCAGCAGGTGGTGAGCTAATGTTCTATTCTTTTAGCAAATACTGATATGAAATCACTTTCACAGTTCTGGGCAACTGCACATGTATCTCCACTGCACGGTCCACCAAGGGCACCCACTTTTAGGCTTCTGGCTCCCAGCCATCACCTCTCTAATGCAGTGTCCAATGTTTCTCTTCCTCCTGTCCAGAGTGTTTCCTGCCTGCACAGCTCCCTGCCTACATTGTGATATTCCGAGCAAGCCACACTGCCTACACAGGACAGTGTCTGCACTTTGCGTTGTCTCCAGAGGCTATCAGCAGTGTAAAAACAATAAAAACCTACATGCATGCTCATAAGCTTACCAGAACTCAGCCCCCACCCCCAGCTCCAGCAAGGGCTCTAGTAGGAGCCAGGCCCTCAAACTCCACTAAGCTTTTTTTCCTGTTGTTACAAGTTCATAATAGCCTTAACTAGAACCAGAACAACCATAAATAGTTCAGTCTTGCCTCTATACAACTTGGCCTCAACTAACAGGTGGCCAGCAGACAAAGGCCCGCTCCTCAGGGCATAGCTTTAGAAGGCTGGGATTTTGCATAAACTGGGGTGGGAGATTTACATTCAAGATATATCCCAGGAAATCCAGTTCACACATCTTGTCCCCAAAGACCATTCTTGTCAGCCACCTTGTTCAATATAGTGCTTTGATCTACCTGGCCCACAATAATACAGAACTTCTGCATTTCATACAATGGTCTCCAAAGATGCTTACTTCATTCAGTAACACTTACCAAGGAAATTACCAGGTCTGTCACAATCACCACAACTTTTGCTGCACTGCCGCCTTCAGTACGGCAGGAACTTCACGTTTTGGAGGGAAAACTGTTGCCCTGAGTCCTTATCCCAGATGTGACCTGTTTAAAAGGATTCTGTCCTCATCGCTCCAAAGCCTTGTTTCACTGAAACTAGTGTTAATCCAGAGTCATTGGAGGAGTGACTCCAGATTAACATAGGGACAAATGAGATCAGCATTTGGTTCAGCGACTTTGTTCCTGGGAGGGTTTAAAAATGTCTCAGTGGGTTTAGTGCTGGTGAGAGGGGCCATGTCTGCGCTGTGATAAAGCGACCAAGCATTTGCCCTGCATGGCAGAGTCGAGAACAGCTCTGCAGGGAAAGAGCCTGTGGGGAATCGTGAGGTAAATTGAAATAAAGCCTTTTCTGCAATCTGCCCACTTGCCCTTTTTGTCCTGACAGGCTGCAGAATAACATCCATGTTTCGCTCCTGCTCATCCCCTCTTCCCGGGCGACAGGGAAGGGAAATGGCTGCTGTGGAGTCAGATCAGGTAGGGCGTTGCTGAGGGGCTCCTGTGTGAGAGAGAGGAGAATACAGAGCAGACAGGATCTGCTGGGCAGTGTGGCCTGGAGGCGGGAGAGGTGGAGAAAGGGAGGGGACAGGGTGTGACAAACCTGCTGGGATTGGTTTGACCTGGGGGCTGGATCCTAGGAACAGACCCATGAGGTTTGGGGGCATAGGTGCTGGAACTAGGGGGTGCTGGGGGTGTGGTAGTGCCCCCTGGCTTGAAGTAGTTTCCATCATATACAGAGTTTACAGTTTGGTTCAATGGCTCGCAGCACCCCCACTATAAAAATTGTTCCAGTGCCCCTGTTTGGGGGTACAGAAGCCCTGAACTATGGAACAGGAAACAACCCCCTGGACTGCACTGGGAAAACTCCCCAGCCTCTAAGTGCTGGCGTGTGAATCTACTAACCAGGGGCTGGTGTGAGATATGAAGGGGACCCCTACCAGTGAGGTGTAGGGGAGATAACCCATCCCCTCACATCCAGCTGATGGCAATGGGACGGGTGTTGGGATTCCTACCAGGGAGCTGTCCCTGCACCATGCTAGCAGCTCGATTTCCTGTATCTGCCTCATAGGTGCCGACTTCGTGGGTGCTCCGGGGCTGGAGCACCCACAGGAAAAAAATAATGGGTGCTCAGCACCCACCAGCAGCCCCGCCGATCAGCTCCTCCCCATCCCTCCCAGCACCTCCTACCCGCCGCGGATCAGCTGGTCAGTGGAGGGGGAGGAGCGGGGGCAGGAAGAGGCAGAGCAAGGGCAGGGCATGCTTGGGGGAGGGGGTGGAACGGGGCGGGTGGAGCAGGCCCAGGAAGAGGCGGGGTGGGAAGAGACGAGGCGGTGGTGGGGCTTTGGGGGAAGAGGTGAAGTGGGGCAGGGCCTGGGG